AAGTACTTTGAAATGCTGATATATTGCCATAGTGTGAGCATAGCTGCAAATGAGATTAGCGAATTTCTTATCTGTATACCTTCCTTAGAATAAAGACAACGACACGCTGAAGGACCTGTTGAAAGCCAATGTGGAAAAGCCTGTTAAGATGCTGGTCTATAGCAGCAAAACCCTGGAGATCCGAGAGACATCCGTAACCCCCAGCAACATGTGGGGAGGGCAGGGCTTGCTGGGCGTGAGCATTCGGTTTTGCAGCTTTGATGGCGCCAATGAGAATGTATGGCACGTGCTGGTAAGTAGAAGCTCTTTTTTTTTTTTTTTAAGAGAACAAATTCATTTTGTGTGGAGAATCTTCTGGCTTTAACTTCCTTTTGTCTATGTGCTTCCAATAGGAATTCACCCAAAGTGGCATAGAAAAAAAAATCAGCTGCATATCTCTCCCTTACTGCACTTTTTTCATTAAATTAAAATCTGTATCAATAAAGAAAGTGAGATGGCTATCAAATAGTCTGTTGTATATGTAGAAATAAAGCTTTTCTATATGTTTCTGGTGGGTATTTTTTTAAAAACTAGAAAGAGATAACATTCACCAACACAGCAATGCATTTCATAAAATGGGATTTGCCCCTTTCTCTCCAGAACTACAATTAATGTGCAAATATTTTTGTACATACCTCTATATACACATTTTCAACAACTTCTCTATCTTGAAGACAGTGCATTTTTTTTCCTGAAGTACACATTTCATTTGTTAAGGAAATTGAAAAATACTGTAGTAGTTATATGGCCAAAGTCATATATTAATTCCTAGGCTTTCATTTTCTCTCTTTTTCTCCCCTCCCTCCAAATATAAACTAACAATACCAGAATAACAGAGTTGGAAGGGACCTTTGTAGGTCTTCTAGTCCAGGGGTCGCAAACCTTTTGGACCTCAGGGACCACCAAACTCATAATTTTAAATCCTGCAGACCAGAGACCTTGGGAAAATCCCCCCAAAAGTCTGCAGGAAAATTCCCCACCCCATTTTCTTACCGATCGATCATTCTTTATTTGGGATCACAGGATACCGTCTCCAGCTCCATTCTCAAGGGGGAGAGAGAGAGAGAGACCTTTGGCTTCATGCAAGGAACGCAGCAGAAGTCTTTCTTTCTCTCCCCTAAACTCCGCCAGAAATGAGTCTTTGTGAGACTTGTCACGCTGGCGCAGCCTCTTGGAGCAGGAGGCCTTGCAGGGTCCCAAAGACTTATTCTGGCGGAGTTTGGGGGAGAGAAAGAAAGACTTTTGCTACTTTCCTTGCGTGCAGCCAAAAGCAGAAGAAGAAAGAAGCGGAGAGAAGCAGACCAGTGGCCAGGCGAGGCGCGTGGGGCGAATGGGGCAAGTTCCTCCCTCCGCCTTTTTCTTCTCACTATCTCATGTTGTTCACAATGCAAGCAACACAAACCTTGTGTTCCGGCACAGCTTGGATTAATTGCTTTGGGGTGTACTTTGGGGGTGACATTTCTCTGCAGACCACCAAAATTTTCTTGCAGACCACCAATGGTCCCCGGCCCAATGGTTGGCAACCACTGTTCTAGTCCAACCCCCTGCTCAACAAGATACCTATTCCATTTCAGACAAATGGCTGTCCAATCTCTTCTTACAGTGTGCATGTGACCATGTAGTCTTCAGTAGTTGAACTTTGAGAGAGTTTTTAATTTTTTAATCTATCTTTTGTACTTTTCTTGGTCTGGTTAAGGCATTTACTTTTTGAAAAAAATTTATGTCTTGTAATTAGGAAGTTGAACCAAATTCTCCTGCTGCAATTGCAGGTCTTAGACCTCATAGTGACTACATCATTGGGGCAGATACTGTCATGAATGAGGTAAATATGTTATTTATCTTAAAAAATCAAGATTCTGGCTGTTTTAAACTGAACTCAGGTTGCTCATAATTATTTGCAGTTGGCTTTGCGATAAGCATTGTTGAGCTTTATTTTTGAGCAGACATACATAACTTAGAAATTACCGTAATATTTATTATTAATTTAAAGATGAGCAGAAAGAACAAGTGAAAACAGCAGGGAAAGTTTATTTTAGAATTTGTGCATGCATGCATTTTTTATTTTTACTTATCAATAGCAATAAACTAATGAATGTTCTCATCTGCTAAAATGAGCATTTCAGCTCATTCTGAATTTCAGAACATTAAAATAAAATAAATAAAATACAGTTGATTAAAATTAATTGAAATGCCAACTAAATATGTTTTTTCCTTAGTCTGAAGATTTATTCTCTCTCATTGAAACACATGAAAACAAGCCATTAAAACTTTATGTATACAATACTGATACTGATAATTGCCGAGAAGTCGTTATTACTCCAAATACTGCATGGGGTGGAGAGGGAAGGTAAGTTGATTTTGTTCAAAGAGATATGAAATGTGATTAAACTGATCATTTTGGTACTGCTTCTGGGTAGTTTCCATCCAGTCAGATTTGTACCAAACTGGGAAGATGCAATGACAATGTAAATATTTTTCATAGATTTAATTTATGTTAAGTATTTCAAGATATATTGCTTAACCATGAACTCCCATTTGCATTTTGAGCAGAATATATGAGGAATAATTTGCTAGTGTGGTTCTGTTTCTCTTTCTTTGTATTTAAAGCCTAGGATGTGGCATTGGCTACGGATACCTGCATCGAATACCTACTCGCCCTTTTGAAGAGGGAAAGAAAATTTCTCTTCCTGGGCAGTTGTCCAGTACACCTATTAGTCCACTCAAAGATGGCTTCACAGAAGTAAGTTGTCATCCTTTTCTTTTGCAGCCTATAGCGTGACTCTCCCAACCACTTCTGGTGGAATAATATTCCAGTTTTGTAACATTATTCCTAAACATGTGTTCTTTTCTAATCATTTATTTCTTGTAACATCTTACAAAGCAGCAGATCTCTGATAAAATAAGTGTTCTTTTTAACCAGGTGCAACTGTCTTCAGTTAATCCCCCTTCTTCATTGCCACCTGGAACTACAGGAGTAGAACAAGGCTTGGCTGGTCTTTCCATTAACACAACTCCTGCTGTCCCTAACGTGCTCAGTACAGGTTTGACTTTTGTGTAATCCTAATACCAGTGTTCTGTTTTCTAAATGTAATTATATCAGGGGTAAGTGACAGTCTATTTAATTTACATGTCATGTACACTAATGTGCTGTGTAGCTACAAAATGGCACATTACTGGAGGGCTGGGTGGAGAAGGGTCTGGTTCTTGAGGAAGAGGCCAGATATTAAAATCTCAGTTTCTATAAATAGAATTCTGCCATCTTTATTCTGTTTTTTATTGGTTTTTGTTTACTGCTAGTCTTGTGAACCTGTAGTAATTTGATTCTGAGGGTGGGCTTGTTTTTTAATTTATTTTCAACATTGAGAGACATGCTCTGGCACAAAAGGATCCTAATCTCTGATATCTCTATCTTAAAAAAATAATAAATAAAGATTTTTCCTGGAAAACTACAGAAGCTACTTTTAAGGTAGATAGGTTGGGCTAAGTCTAGAAATTTTGTTGGATATGTTCAAAATAGCATTTGAAAAATAACATGGCTTGATTTTTCACTAGGTGTTCCTACAGTACCGTTATTGCCTCCCCAAGCAAATCAGTCTCTTCCTCCAATTAACTCAGCAGCTCCATTACCAGGTATGAGATATAAATATGGATGAACATTATTATGTGTAATAGTGAAAAGGATGTTTTCAAATACAGTGGATCTAAAAAGTCTCCAACCTCCCTATTAAAATGCCAATTTTTTGAGGTGTAAAAAAGTCAGACCAAGATAAATCACTTCAGAACTTTTTCCACCTTTAATATTCTGAAGTGATTTATCTTGATCTGATTTGTTTACATTTCAAAAACCTGACATTTTTGACAGGGGGTATATATTCGCTGTAGAAAACAGTCTGAATTTTTTTTCTTCATTAACTACTGTACCTTTTTAAAATATTTGAATTGTGTTGTATCATTGGTTAATCTTCAGACACAGTTCCAAGAATGTAGTTTTAGTAGTAAATCTTCATTTGTTTATATCGAAGAGATGATGTAAGAATATCCTGAGAAGTAGAAGCCAAATCAGTTATTTAATTTTATTTCAGTTAATATGTGTGTGGCTAAATATACAATTTCAATAAATTGAAAACCATCTTTTTTATAGATATTATAAATTAAAATGTAAAAAATATATTTTTTCATTCCCTGTTATATGAATATAGAGACCAGTTCAGTGTAGTGGTTAAAGGCACCAGGCTAGAAACTGGGAGACTGTGAATTCTAGTCCCACCTTAGGTACAAAGCCAGTTGAATGACTTTGAACTAGTTAGTCTCTCTCAGCCTTAGGCAGTGACAAACCACTTACAAAAAATCTTGCCATGAAAACTGCAGGGAACAATCCATGCAGTTGTCAGGAGTCAACACTTACTTAAAGGCAAATATACACACACATTTGCGCATACCCAGACGTGATATGAATATACCAGAACCAAGATAGTCTTATTTTAAGGATTTTTTAAATAAAACATTCCATAGTCTGTTTAGTACACAATTCACTTGATATCTTATTTATATGAGCCCTAAAAGAGAATCTGACATGAAATGAACTTTTCAGTAGCAGCTGTCTTTTTCAACTCAGACTCTTTGTGAAGTTCGTTTGTTTAAAAATGAGTTCATACAAGACAAAAACAATTAAAAATTAAGTATAATGACTATTTACCTCAAGGTTAGCGCTAAAGACCTTGCATGATTGGATTACCTCCAAAGCGGTCCAAACTAGATGAGGATATTTTAACAGTTTTTGACTGAGCATCTTTGCACAATCTTAATACATACTATAGTGTCTGCCTTTGAAATTAAATGTATAGTCTCAGCAAATTAGTGCAGGTTAGAATTTACAATTTAAAGGAAAATATGTATAACTGGAAAGCCTTCTTATGTGAGGACTATTTCAAATATACAAAAAAGACAGAGGTGGCCTTTTGCCCTAACATGACAAAAGCAAATAGAAATGGGAACTGGGAACTGAAAGGGAAAGAACTGCACTGGTGTAGCAATTAAACCTATAAGACTATTGGAAATACTTCACAGTTTATGTGTAACAAGACCTTTGCTCCTTGCCTATCGGTAACATTTGGTGCAGGATTTATATGCATTTTTGAAAATCATAGAAGAACCGTTCTCTGAAAATATTACTTAAAGATATATAATACAAAGGATTATAGAAAGATGGCACTCACTGTCTATAGGTGTCTTTCTTGTAAATAAGACTGCTTCTTAATACATTATGTGACGGAAGGAAGTACATGCTGGTTATTTTCATCTATGCCCATTCCTTGAAGTGATACACATGACCAAGGATATCTCCTGGATATCCATGTGTCTAATGTTCTCTCTTCAACATATTGTGATTGTTTTTGACTCAAAGTGTTCCCCCAATAAATGTCACTTTTCTTTTTTCCGCTTCTGCAAGTAATATGAACCTCTGAAATTTAGCATCTTGTTTTTATTAGGACTGATGGCTTTACCTGCTGGACTTCCCAACCTGGGGAACATCCCTAACTTGAATTTACCTGGTCCGCATTTAATCCCTGGTCCTGGATTAGTAGACATTGGGCAACCTGGTAAGTTTTGATAAATTTCTGAACTGACTTCTGATGAGACAATCTCATGGTTTTAGTTCAGCCCAGTTGCACATGACTTTATGTAATCACTAAATTATCTTAAGCTTATAATAAATGAAGTAAGGCTTTCATGTGTTTGCCTGTAGCACAGTTTAATTCAGTATCATAACATTTAGACCCCGTTTAGGTGAAGAAAAAACCCCGAGATCCTGCGAAAAGGGGATGCTTTTTTCTTATTTTTCTTACAGTCCCAATACTGCTGTGCATTATTATATAATTCGTGTCCCTAGCTTCTTCCAAAAATTGCTGCCACAGTATAATTGATACGGAAAAGGGAAATAAATAGATGGAGATTAACTGTTTGATATTTTAATTTAATGTTAATTATATTTAAATTATTTTAAGTTAAATTTAGTTTCTATTCTTGTTCTGTTTGGAGTGCTACCTCACCTGCTAATCAGGATGCTCTTGTATGCTGAAAATTAAAACTAGATTTGACATCAACTAACAACAACCATCATGTCATATTTTATTGGCATACTTGAGAATAGAAAGTAATGTTAAATCTTTTTGATGCATTATTATCAGTGGTACAATATTACTGTGAAATAAAAGACTTCCTATGTAAATGCAAAGTACACTACTACATTTTCTGCATAAAAATGCAAAAAGCTCTGTGAACCCTGGCATATAAATTGATTTTTTATATTCAAGTCATTTTCCTGAAATCTTCATGAATAGATATTGGATGGGACAGAATTCAGAGGACCGTAAAACAGAATCATATGCCCTTTAGTTTGTCTGCATGTTTTTGGCTAATGGTTGTTTATTCATTTGAACTCTATAAGCTGCAAAAACGAATGTGATTTTTCTGAGGTGGGTAGGAATTCTTATATAAAATACCTGTGCCATAAGAAGTTAACAGCAGTCTTAAAGTTTTGCTGTGTTCCAATTAATATGAGACCTGGCTATCTCTATAGACAACAAAGAGTCCTTAGGTGGTGGGCCATGATCCTTTAAGAGTCATGAGGAACTTTTAATATAAAAGTAATAACATTTTTGCTTCTTGCTCACACAAAGCAAATTGATGGCAGAAAGTTGTTTTACTATTTCTTCCAATGAAATGTTTTTTTTTTTTAAATTAACTTGGAAGGTCCTCTCAATATTTCATATCATAGATGGATTAAATGATTACAAGTTTATTTCTTGCCCAATCTTAACCCTAATGAAATAATAAGTATACTAGCTATCACACATCCATTTATTATTTTAGGAGGAAATGGAACTGCAAAATTTGCAAACCTCCAGAAAATTAATCTCTGTAGTTAGAAAGATCTTGCTCAGGATACACATCTGTAGGGACCCTTATGGAAAGCCTCTTCCCTTTGGTTCATTGTATATATCCCCACCATCTTCCTTGCAATATGCAGATGCAGTATAGAATTGTAAAATTTACAAATAACATGGCTCTGTAGACTACACAAGTAGACTGCAAGCTTGTTTTGTCTTCTGATGTCCTTAGGATTGCCACCACTTCCTTCCTTGCCTCCAGTCAACCTGTCTGGAATTGCACCTCTGTCGCCAGAATTCCTTGCCAAGTTCCCATTGGTCAATGAGATGCCCCCTCTGCCTACAGATCTGTTGTCTTCTGTTCCCATCACAACAAGCTTCCCTGCAAATCCTGGCACGACTGTAAATGTGGAACAAACCTCTGCACTCATTCTGGATACGGCTGTTCCTCCTCCCCCCATGGTTACTACTGATGCTTCTAATGCTCCCGCTGTCAAGGCATTATCTCCTGAAGACAGAGGAGATGGGATAACTTCCTTCAGTGAAAAGCCAGCACCCTCGGTCACGGATACGGCTGTGTCTGAATCATCATAACTTCAACTAATTGGTTGGATTGGGGTTGATGTATTTATTCAACAACAATATATGCAAACTATCATTACTTTCATGCTAGTTTGTATTTTGTTGTCAAGAGTTCTTGTAAATATACGGAAGGTGACTTAAAGGTCCAGATTTTTACAATGGGTTTGGTGTAGGGTAGAGAAAGGAGAAGGAACTGCTTATATTTAAAAAAAAAGAATAATAAAAAGGAAATATCAAGGTAGGGTATGCAGGTGTCCGCTGCCAAAATTGAGGATTTTTTTTTTTAAAGTGTAATCTGACTTCAGTAGGCTTTCTTGCTTACTTTCCGCCCCACAAATTTGCTTCTCTTAGAAATGAGCAAGTAATTCATGCTTGTAGTATATGAAAAAAAAAATTTCTTGTATTTTGCAAGAATTAGAATTTTGGTAATACATTGTGAGGGGGTAAAAGTATTTACTTTTTCCAAGTTGTACATTTTAGCAGTATAAAGATCTTCAAACTAGAGCTGTTTTATTAAAAACTCCAGAAAACGACTTGTAAATTCAGCCTCATTTTTAAATCTGCCTGTATGCGGATCTTTCTGTTGAGCTACTGCCCTTTTTACCTAAACCTAGCCTCTGCTACTTTGCTTTATAAGCCCACTGTCAAAAGTATTGTGAAGAAAGCAACAGGAAACCTTACAATGTTGGACAGGGCTCAAAAACAGGAAGATGAAATTTTTGACCTTTTTTTGTAAAACAAGTTGAATTGAAGGAGCTTACATAATGGCAATAAATTCTAAGGGTTTTATCATTCGGTGAGCATATTATTAAAACTGAACAGGAGTAAATACACAATTGTAACACAGTTTTGGAATGAAAAACATTTCACAGGCACATACATTATTTTCCCAAAATTTCTTATTTTTGGCCTTGCTGGGCTGGAATTTCTGGAAGGCCACAGTTCTTCAATTCTGCAGAAAATATTTATTTTTTTAAAAAAAGCTTAATTGTGGCCCAGCTATCAGCAAATTAGATGTTATACCATATACCATTCAGTTTCAAATTCAAGTCTGTGATTATTCAGTATTGGCCTGAGCAAGGAGCCTTAGGTTAATTGAATCCAGATAGTTAATACGTACTTTTAAATATGTATATTGTTGAAAAATTGGCTTTCCTTTTCATGTAATTTTGGAGTTCTAAATCAAATATTAAACATGTCAACACATATAATGTATATGACTTTCTAGTTGTTACCGCCTCTCCAGAAGTTTAATTTTAAAATCTCTGGTGAATGGAAGGCTATATTAAGATTCTGTAGGCAAGAACTTTGTTCAATGACTCTGTTTTGCTCATACATAATTATGTGCATAACACTTGACAGCTTAGTCTCTTGAAAACATTACTTAAGAGATGGTATCTATTTCCTATCCTGGTGGGAGAAAGAGGAAGAGTAGACTGGCTTTCCATTACTCCTGATCCTATCAAAGGGATCCATTGTAGTGGTAGTGCACCCTCACATCTGAGAGCAGAGATCATTGCCAAGATCATGACTAGCTCTGAAAAGCAGAAAATGGAGTACAGTGTGTTCTGCCAACAACAGGTACAGTAAATGGCTCTCCAACATTAACAGATGTAATATGCTTCCATTTTAAGTGTAATATTTCCTTCCTACTAGAAAAATGATGATATTCGTGTTTATTCAAAAGACAGGTTCACACAGCTTATGCCCCAAGGTATTTGTGGAATATCGATCTTGATATGGCATTGCAGGTTTGATATACGCTGCTCAAAAAAACAAAGGGAACACAAAAATAAGACATCCTAGATCTGAATGAATGAAATATTAAATACTTCGTTCATTACATAGTTGAATGTGCTGACAACAAAATCACACAAAAAATATCAATGGAAATCAAATTTAGCAACCCATGGAGGTCTGGATTTGGAGTTACGCTCAAAATTAAAGTGGAAAAAAACACTACAGACTGATACAACTTTGATGTAATGTCCTTAAAACAAGTCAAAATGAGGCTCAGTAGTGTGCGTGGTCTCCACGTGCCTGTATGACCTCCCTACCAGGAGGTCAGGTGAAAGCACCGCCAGCATTCAAAAGTGACCAAACCATCAGCCAGAAAGCATAGGAACTGAGAATTGGTCTGTGGTCACCACCGGCAGAACCACTCCTTTATTGGGGATGTCTTGCTAACTGCCTATGCTTTCCACCTGTTTATTCCATTTGCACAACAGCATGTGAAATTGATTGTCAATCAGTGTTGCTACCTAAGTGGACAGTTTGATTTCACAGAAGTGTGATTGACTTGGAGTTACATTGTGTTGTTTAAATGTTCCCTTTACTTTTTTGAGCAGTGTATTTCTATGTCCCTTCTGGCTATCTCTAAGTAATTGTTGTGAGTTTCTGTACCCATAGAGAAGTAATATCACTTAGCCTCAGAGAAATTTTCAGATATCCCCATGCAACAGCAACGCCCAATTTCATGAATGGAAGGGGGAAAAATCATAGTCCTATTTCTGCATCCTTATGGAAAACTGATTTCTCTAGAAATTGAGCAAGTTTTCAGAATGTTGATTAATCTTTCATAAGTAATTTCCAGCAAACAGGGATGTGTCGCTATTAGTTTCGCTTATACAGAGATGTAGATCAAATTAATCAGAAAACCTGCCAGAAGGGCACTGACATTAGTGAAAGGAGAAGTGTTACACAGTTAAACATTGGGTATGAGTCAGCTTGTAGAAAATAGTTGAGGCTATTTTTCAGCCAATCTCAAAGATTTGAAATGAAGACTACATTGTCCCTGCCATTTTGGAGGCAATCACAATCATAACACTTCGTCTCACCAACCAAATAGTAATTCAGGCTTGGAAGAAGAAAATTGAATGTGCTCTGGTCACAACTCGTAGTATATTACAACACCTAAAAAGAGTACTGAACACAGCGGCATCCCTTGATAGTATTCCACAAGATGGTTTTTCTGACAAAATGAGGGAGGAAACTTGTCGGTTTTCTCCTTTTGCTGCAGAAGTTTCTGCTCTGACATCTACTCCAAAGAAATGGAAGATACTCGGGAATGTATCTTTGAGGACACAGATTGCAGCAAAAAGTTATCTTCCTTCCTGCCAGTTGTCAACGTTCACATTGACTTTAAATGCAAGTGACAAAACATACCAATTTCTCAATAACAATTCAATTAGAAGCGTCATCTTGTCCTGAAGCCACAACCTTCGGTATATGTCCAATACTCATGCAGGAACCCCATGAAGGGCCTATCAAATGCTTCATTTGCCTAGGTAAAACAATCAGGAAACGTCCTCTAATTCTGCTGGGCGTTACAAATGTGATGCTGTTTCTTCCTCCAGAGTTTTTACCGTCTACACCAGGGGTGTCAAACTGGTGGTGTAACATGACGTATCAGGACTTTTTTCCCCTTCGCTAAACCAGCGGGGCAGGGCCAGCACGTGAGGCATCTGGTCGCGAGTTTGACACCCCTGGTCTACACTGTCCAAAACATCAGAAATGGTTAGCAAGATATTTCTTCTCTACCCTCACTAGAGTTGCTATTGCAGTTTTCTACCTGTATAAAAGGCTCTATGTTTAGTGAAGTGGCAACTACTGTCCCTCGTTAGCAGAGTTAAAGTTGTAGCCTGTGCAAATATCTGTTTGCAAGCAATGGATGTTTGCTTTGGAGGGTATGAAAGATCAAACATAGTCTTTATTTTTAAGGTGTATTTCTATCCCACAGTTCCTTGTGTTTATGTATAAGTGAACTAGCAGCTAGCAGCTCCTCTATATGAAAATTAAATGAAATTATCCCGGGTGCAGCGCATAGAAAAAAAACATAGTGGTACTGATCCCTTAAATCAGGGGTGTCAAAATCGATTTCATTGAGGGCTGCATCAGGATTTTGTTTGACCTCGGGGGGGGGGCATGGCTGGGATGGATGTGGCCAGAGTGGGCGTGGCCAGCTGAATGTCACTCGTCAAGGCCCTGTTTTTGGCTGCGACAGCCTGCAGCTCTCTGCCAATGAAAATGGAGTTCAGGGTGGGGGGGGCGTGCATAGCACCCCAAGCTCCATTTTTGCTGGCAGGAGGCCATCACGGCAGAAAACAGCCCGGGAAGGCTGCATGCAACCCCCCCGAGCTCCAATTTTGCTGGCAGAGACAATGTGGGCCAGTCTGCTGTTTCCAGGATGGCCTGCAGGCCACAATCCAGCCCGCAGGCCTTGACCCCGGCCTTAAACCATCATATCAAATGAATGCAATGTAATTCAGAATAAATATATACGGACAAGAGGTAACAAGGCGACCTTAACAACCACAAGAAGAAAAACTTGTTTCTTGTGAAAAGGACACAATGTCAGATCCGGATTTTTTGTCATAAGGTCTCGAAGAAATAAGGCATGGCTGCAAGTCATGAAAGCTATCCCTGTAGATTCACTCCACCAAAGCAACTTTAATGTTACTGCTTAGATGGGTGTAAATTAAATAAAATGCAGAGCAAGCATGAGTCAATACATTGTAATAAGAGTCAACATTTATCCACAGAGTATTTATTTACTTAAACTGCCCGATAGGAAAAGCTCTTGACTGTTTACAATAAAACTCAATAAAAAATACAGTCAGAATAAAAACAACACAACAAAATATAAAATAAATATACCCTATAATCTGGGCGGCCACAAAGTCATCCAAAAACTAGAATAATATAAATTAAAATGTAGTTGAAGCATGATAAAAGCCATTTTAAAAGCTGGGAAAAGTAGAAGGGCCTTCACATGTACCAAAACAAGGCTGGTGTGGATGTCAGTTACGCCTCTTGAGGGAGGGAATTTCATAAATAGGGTGCCATGCCAGGAAAAACTCTTTCACTGATACAGTAGAGGTACATCGTTACCCAGTTGAATTTACACTAGTATTTCTCAGGAATGGAAAATCTTTTAAAAAAAAATACAGATAGTCCTCAACTTATGACCACAATTGAGCCCCAAATTTCTGCTGATAAGACATTTGTTAAGTGAATTTTGCCCCAACTGTATGACCTTTCTTGCCATAGCTGTTAAGTGAATCACTGTTGTTAAATTAGTAACAAGGCTGTTAAGTGAATCTGGCTTCCTCGTTGACTTTCCTTGTCAGAAGTTCGCAAAAGGTCACATGACCCTGGGACCAGAGGTGGCATTCAGCAGGTTCTGACCAGTTCTGGAGAACCGGTAGTGGAAATTTTGAGTAGTGCGGAGTCCCAGCAAATACCACGTCTGACTGGCCCCGTCCCCATCTATTCTCTGCCTCCAGAGTCCCAGCTGATCGGCTGGGTCTTCTTTTGTTGCCCTGCACAGGAGAACAGAGCTGGAAAGCAGGTTAGTGGGGTGGGGAGGGAATGGGGGCTTTTGCAGTAACCTTCCCATGCCATGACCACCAAGTCACACCCGCCGACTCAGTAGTAAAAAAAAATTGAATTCTACTATTGCCCAGGACACTGCAATCATCATCAATATGAGTCCATTACCAAGTGTCTGAATTTTGATCCCAGGACCTTGGGGAGGCTGCAATGGTCATAACTGATGAAAAATTGTCATAAGCCACTTTTTTTCAGTGCCATTGTAACTTTGATCATTAAACCTGTAATTGCTTTTCTGCCGACTCTTGAAGTCTTGAATTATTTATCTTTTTTTTTTCTAGGTTTTGGAAAACTCCATACAGTATTCAGTTCTGGCTATTTTGGCCAGAAACTATCTCTTTGGCTTCAAAGAACCAAAAATCCCTTCTATGGTGGCCTGAATTCAGTTCAATATTCCCTGGCATTAAATGCACATTTCTTCTTTCAGTTTCTTCAACTTGGGGAAAATAATGTTGCTCCACTAGATGGAACCACATCACTTGCTTTATTTTGTTTGGTAGCGGCTTTTGAGTTTTGTTTGGTTTTTTCTTCCTCTCAGAAATCTATGCTTATTTAAATCTTTATCAGTTGAGCCTTTCACACAAAAGAATAGCAAGCAAGCTCTAGCTGTTTTTTTTTTTTAAGGCAAGTGTACTTGAATTCAGGCCTACAAGGACAAAGGTTGCTGCTTCATTAATAGGCAGTTGAGGACTTCTGCAATCTGTGAGATGCTCAGAAAATGCTCCATTTAATTAATGCTTAAAGGAAAAATTCTGTATTGTTGCATTAAGTAACATTACATGAATGTTAGTTTTACATTAGAGAAAAATTAATAC